AAAAAACGACAAACTTATTAACATTTTTTAAATATATCTAAAAATAACCTCACCATAAATGGAAAAATTTCAGGCTATTACGGGAGAGGAGGTAACATACATTTAAAAACTGTCAAACAAATTCATACCAATGTCCAATGACTTWCAAAATATTTAAATATAAACTTAGGAGAATTTTTTTGATTAGGAGGTGAGAGGGTTGGTGACAAGGAAGTGAATTGTAGATAATAAATACCTTTACACAGGGGGTAACAGAAATAGCTGACTAATGCTATAACTTTTATTAAAATCAATAATTGAAATTTATATCTACATAATATATACATAATTGTGTATAATTATGTATATTAATTAATATTTTACGATACGAGCGAAACAATTGAGTCACGTACGCAGGACCGTATAAAATCGCGGTACAATTTTGTGCATAGGACGTTTTTTTTTCGTTTAACTTTATTATTCGGTCCCACAAAAATTTAACGATTCCGTAGGAAAGCCATAATTACGGTGTACTGCAGTCTGCAACCAACCAGCCGTGCGAAAACATAATAATATTTGATGTAGGCTGTCTGGTCGTAAAACTAAATTAATCCCATCGTCTCATAACGTACATGGTTGTTTACATATACAATATACACATATACATAYACTATCCTAATACGCATTGCCCATAGCATCGCATTTAATCGCCTTTTTAAACCCTTAGTTTCGGTATTTTTGACGCTCTCCGTTTTATTAATAAGACGTTAAATCGTGCTAATCATTTGACCTGGTATACGATTTGTATGTCTATAGGTAAATATTTGTTTAATATTTCGACGGCAAAATCTAAGATCATCCATRTAGGTACTTTTATATTTTAATGAAAAAACATTGTGTGACACACACGAATAACATAATATAGGAAATTAGACGTGTTTTAATTCTAAAAATGTATTGATTTAGTAAAGCCATAAGAATTATGAAATCAAACTTGAATTTTTTGTCCAGTCTACTTGAAATTGACTTTTCTACACTTTTTATTTTATCACTTTAAATTTTTAACGATAAATGTAAAAAAATTTAAACCAAAAAAATGTATTATTTTAAATTTTGGATAAGTTAAAATCAAAAATATGGGAAAGTCAACGTCAAGTAGACTTATGACTCGAGATCTCATAACGCTAACCATTGATCATACATGATTTCATATACCTAGCTATTACAATATGTATACTAAATATATACATATATATGTTTATATATATAGGAAAAATAAAATTTACCATTCGGCATTCGATGTATTATAATTATATTATTTACAGTATTTTAATTTTTAGTGGTGAGAGTGTAGATACATATTAATCAAAATTCTCAAGTTCGCTTCACTCGGTCTGCCTCTTTATCAAACACTATATATACGYGACTTGTTAAAACATAATTTCTCGCTACGACTATTCCGAATGCGATACACCGCTGCGCCGTAATTACTATCGTAAAATTATTCCTATATACTTGCATGATGCGCGAGCTCTTTAAATGGTCCATTTCCCCGGCCACAGCATACCTCTATTCTAATTAATTATGCTGTAATCGTTTTTACTGCAATTTTATTCCCTCGCAGACAAACTAAACTACACGTGTTATCAAATATATAAATTTATTATAATTACTATATCATATTTAGCAAATATATTAGTAGATTGGTAGTCGTGTAGGTGCCTATAATATACATTATATTATACTACCTATCTATAATATATTATCTAGTATAATGTACTATACATACATACTTGATGGCTGCAGTACCTAACACGTAACTCCTATAATTATTGTTTGTATTTGAATACAATGGCTATTCATATTATAATCATACATTTTGACGACTCAATGGGATTTATTAAATCGTTCATTTAAAACATAGTATACATAATTTTCAGTAGGCATTAAGATTTAAGAATTACAGAGATAATTGCAAATTAAATAATTATCATAAGTTATTTGTATTGAACGATGATAGTTTAGTTTGGTCACAATTATAAAGAACTTTATATGCATACATTCTTTATACATTTACTATTGTGGCGCTAATTTAGTTTTGCTGATGGGGAAGTAATGATAACGCGAAAGAGGGGGGGGAGATTATTTCCACAACTATTACATAAATATATAAACCGATGCACTGCAAATCATGACCAATCTTTCGCCATCCGTTATAATATAATGTGCTCTAACTAGTGAGTCTAACTTATTCTTAATATTATCCAGTTAGGTTCTAGACATTCTAGTCATTTGTTTTAATTTTCTCAAAATTCTCAATATTTTTATAGATAATCGGGACAAACAAACTAAAAATTAAGGGAAAACGGGAAATTTTACGCACAATCAGTTTTCGACAAAATCGATTTGGTTTTTGATGTTACTTTAAAACAAATGACCATAGATACATGAAATTTTCACCGAATGTTTATATAAGTATATTATATCCACTATGCAATTTTCAAAA